ACTCTTTCAGAGTGGACACACCATGGATGTGCCTCAGATGCTTCGACAAACGTGTCCCACATAAACACACACATCTCCATCGGAGACATCTACTAGTATCTCTATCTCAGACACTTACAAATGAACAAGTCTCCATTTTGACACACGTGGCCCAACGATACGTGAATTCGTGATTTTCTTAAAAAAAGAATATATTTCAATAAAAACACAAACAGAAGATTTGATTTTTTTTAAAAAATAACTTGATAAAAACATAAATAAAGAACAAAGAATTTGAGATTCTTTAAAAAAAAAAAATCTTAATAAAAATATAAACAAAGAAATGAGAATTCAAGATTTTAAAGAGAAAAAAAAAGAAAAAAATTATTATGGACAAGAGTTATGATGTGTGGTCACTTTGCCTTCACTTCACTTTCTTACTTTTACAGGGACTCAAACGCGGGAGTTTAATTCTATTCAAACTATGAAGATCATTAACAAGATAAGTTATAATTAGTAATTATCGCCATAAATATTAATTAAAAATTTCAAAATCAAAATTAAAATAAAATCTATTATTTCACACTGTGAATTTATTTGAGTATAGTATATTTATTTGGGAATAGATTACTCTTTTACCTGTAAAAAAATAATATTCTCTTTTAAAAAATAATATATGTTATTATTAATTTTTTAAAATAAAGGGTGTTTTTTTATTTTTATTTTTTTTTTAAATTTGAATTTAGTTTCAGCTAGATGTTTTCATCCAATTATATTTTTCATGCTTTAAAATACAGGTGTTTAATTAAATATTTTTATTTTTGTAAACTAATTTTGGTAATCACAATTATTATAGGTATAGTCAAATATTATTCTTCAAATAATGAATGAATTCAGAAAAAAAAAATGTTATTGATTAAGAGTAAAATTTTAAATTAACTTAATTATAAAACTGTGATGAATGATTTTCTAGTATTTCAAAGACTTGAAAGATAACTCTATTAACTTCTTTTTTTATTTCCCAAAGAAAACTTTCCAATGGCAAGTGAATTAATCTTCTCCTATATTGTGTAATCTTCCTTTTTTCTATACCTTCTTTTTTCTTCTATTCTTAAATCAACCAAATTCATCTTTTCTTTTATCTTCTCTAATTTTCTTCCTTTATATATTTTAATTTCTATAAATTTTTAAATTAAAAAGATAATCTTGAATTACTCAAATTTTCATATTTTAATGATAACAAATAGAATTTTTTTTTTTTATAAGATAAATGTATTTTTTTATTAGATGAAGTGTAAAGTGATAGCCGTAATAAGATGTTATTAAACCAAACGAAACATATTGTCTCATAGACTAGCATTTACTCTATGTCATTTATGATTTTTAACAATGAAGTTGTGTGTTTGAATGTTTCCTTAATAGATCGAACCTTAAAAGCTTCCTTAGAACTCATATATGTTAAAAAGGAATAAAGACATATTTTGCGTCAGAAATAGGACAAGT